TGCTCCCTTTGGGGGGGAGACAAACTTTTAAAGCTCTGCTCTTAGGAGGCACAAAGAAATGATTTGGTAAAGAATGACCGTTAAAGTAAAATATAAAAATTGTGTTTGATATTAACAGCTAGTACGAGTGTGAAAGGCTTCATATGTAGACTGACTACTTTATCTTCTTCTAACAGTTAAATTTTACTTTAAAATTCTGTGTGTGTGTGTGTGTATATATATATACACGTGGACAAAATCGTTGGTACCCCTCCGTTAATGAAAGAAAAACCCACAATGGTTACAGAAATAACTTGAATCTGACAAAAGCAATAATAAATAAAAATTACATGAAAATTAACCAATGAAAATCAGACATTGCTTTTGATGGTTTAACAGAATTATTTTAAAAAATAAAGTCATGAAACAGGCCTGGACAACAATGATGGTACCCTTGACTTAATATTTTGTTGCACAACCTTTTGAGGCAATCACTGCAATCAAAAGATTTCTGTAACTGTCAACGAGACTTGTGCACCTCTCAGCAGGTATTTTGGTCCACTCCTCATGAGCAGACTGCTTCAGTTGTCTCAGGTTTGAAGGGTGCCTTCTCCAGACGGCATGTTTCAGCTCCTTCCACAGATGTTCAATAGGATTTAGATCAGGGCTCATAGAAGGCCACTTCAAAATAGTCCAATGTTTTCCTCTTAGCCATTCTTGGGTGTTTTTATCTGTGTGTTTTGGGTCATTATCCTGTTGCAAGACCCATGACCTGTGACTGAGATCAAGCTTTCTGACACTGGGCAGCACATTTCTCTCTATAATACCCTGATAGTCTTGAGATTTCATTGTACCTTGCACAGATCAAAGACACCCTGTGCCAGATGCAGCAAAGCAGCCCCAGAACATAACAGAGCCTCCTCCGTGTTTCACAGTAGGGACAGTGTTCTTTTCTTGATATGCTTCATTTTTGTGTCTGTGACATAGAGCTGATGTGCCTTGCCAAAAAGTTCCAGTTTTGTCTCGTCTGTCCATAGGACATTCTCCCAGAAGCTTTGTGGCTTGTCAACATGCAGTTTGGCAAATTCCAATCTGGCTTTTTTATGATTTGTTTTCAACAATGGTGTCCTCCTTGGTCGTCTCCCATGAAGTCTACTTTGGCTCAAACAACGACGGATGGTGTGATCTGACATTGATGTACCTTGATCTTGGAGTTCACCTTTAATGTCTTTAGAGGTTGTTCTGGGCTTGTTTGTCATCATTCGTATTATCCATCTCTTCGATTTGTCATCAATTTACCTCCTACGGCCATGTCCAGGGAGGTTGGCTACAGTCCCATGGATCTTAAATTTCTGAATAATGTGTGCAACTGTAGTCACAGGAACATCAAGCTGCTTGGAGATGGTCTTATAACCTTTGCCTTTAACATTCTTGTCTATACTTTCTTTCTAATCTCCTGAGACAACTCTCTCCTTCGCTTCCTCTGGTCCATGTTTAGTGTGGAACACACCATGTCATCAAACAGCGCAGTGACTACTTGTAGCCCTATAAATAGGCCGAATGACTGATTTGTAGACACCTGTGATGCTAATTAGAGGACACACCTTGATTGAACATGTCCCTATGGTCACATTATTTTCAGTCTTTTCTAGGGGAACCATCATTTTTGTCCAGGCCTGTTTCATGAGTTTATTTTTTAAAATAATTCTGTTGAACCAAAAGCAATGTCTGATTTTCATTGCTTAATTTTCATAGAGGAGTTTGCATGTTCTCCCCGTGCAGCGTGGGTTCTCTCTGGGTTCTCCAGCTTCCTCCTACACAGTCTAAAAACATGCTGAGGTTAATTGGTGATTCTAAATTGTCCGTAGGTGTGAATGTGAGTGTGCTTGGTTGTCTGTCTCTAAGTGTAGCCCTGTGATAGACTGGCGACCTGTCCAGGGTGTCCCCTGCCTTCGCCCCAAGTTGACTGGGATAGGCTCCAGCCCCCCGCGACCCGAGTGATGATTAAGTGGTGTATAGATAATGGATGGATGGATGGAATTTTCATAGAATTTTTATTTATTATTACTTTTGCCAGATTCAAGTTATTTCTGTGACCATTGTGGGCTTTTCTTTCATTAACCAAGGGGTACCAACAATTTTGTCCGTGTTGTATATATATATATACACACACACAAGTGGACAAAATTGTTATATACAACAATGCGTACGTGCGTACCACTTAAGTGAAACCAAGCATCATTTCATTGGCACAGTCAAGGTAATCCTAATTATCCCAACGACGCAGCAGCAAATACAATCATATATTCATATTGTTTCAAGATGCATCTTTTTACAACTAAAATTTGAGTCTCTTTTATAAGTCATGTGAATATAAAATTACTTTGGTGACTGTCATGGCAGTGGCACATGCAGGAAAGTAATAAGCTCACTCTTTTCAGAGATACTACAGTTTATTCTGACATTTCCAGGAGCATTTCCATGATCACAAAGACATGTCCATGTTTCCCAGAATGTTTCTTCTTGCGGTGTGCCAGCCTTTTCTCAGAGACAGCAGGGGGAGCTGCTGCTACACTCACTGCTCTGTATGATGAGAAGCTGTCCCCTTTTTTAGGCGCTTCTTTAATATGATGCACTTCATTTGAACAAATCAAATTTCAAGCTGTCATTAATCTGAGCTCAAACTGCTTCACCCTTCAGCTGAATCAAAATTGAACAACTCTAGAAAATCCTGTTGATTTTAAATTTCTCAACAGCACTTGAAAGCCTCTTTGAGCAGCCCTTTCACCAGATTTCCAAGTGCACTTGGCGAGGCTCACCCTTGTCTCTATTCATGTTACATTTATTTACGATCAACATTTTTGGTCAATCAAACCAGAGTACTCATAATTCCAGGAGGCAGTGAATGGGGTTTATATGTTGCTCTACAATCTAGGTTTCCGGATAAAAGCAGATGGGTATTTTTACCTTAAACCTCTTATTGAATGTGTTCCTGGCGATTGGAAAGGTGGATTTTCTCTGAACGACAATAATTTAACCTTACACTCTCTAGAGTCTAGACACAATAAATTCTCGTCTATTTTTGTGTGGTTTCAATGTCCTGATCAAACACAAACACAGACTCTGTTGGAGGCTGAAGTTGATCAAGTTTTCTTGCAGGCTTGAGAAGGTACATGTGATAACCTGTGGTGTGGACTAATCACATAAAACCCAACAACACGATACCTAAAGGAGAGCATAAAAGCAAAACTCAATAAGTGGGAACACACAGAGCAGCACTTGACACAGGCAATGCTCAAACAATGATACAGTGATACAGTGAAAAACCTTTAAAATGACAAGTACCAAATCATTCATGACAACTCAGCTGATCCCTTTTAAAATGTTGTTTCAGCTTAATATGATCCCAGTTACGATCCACTTTGATTTTTGGGGAGTAAAAGCTCCACATCTTGATCCATCAGTGGTTTGCCCACATGAGGATTTATGTGCTGACACCTCACAACAATCCTGTCAGTTTCTGCAGGCTTTTATCGATCAGTGTAAGATGAGTTAATTTAATGGAATGATCAAAATGTAACACGACAGTGGTGATTTCTCATCGAATGCTTGTTTAAAATGTGAATTGCATGATTACATATCATGGCAAGAGGGCAGTTGCTGTAGAATCTGCCCTCTCAAGACTGCAAATGTACATACAGGTGACAAATTAAAGGGAACAAAAATCAGAGCCCTTGGCACCTACAGTGAGGTGGTTCTTTCATACTGCAGGGGACAATCTGCTAACATGGTTTGTGTCTGCTTGTCTTTTTATTTATTTTTTTATAAGAAAGGGTCACTGCAAATCAGTACAAAGTTGTTGTGAGTAATCATCTTTATCCTATGATATATCCTGATTGGAGTAGTCTCTTCCAGGATGACAATGGTTCAAGCCACAGGTCACAAGGGGGTCACTGAGCAGTTTGATGAAAATATTGTGAGTCATATGTTATGGCCTTCACAGTCACCAGATCTCAACCCAACTGAACATCTATAAGAGATTTAGGAATGATGGAACATCATTACAAAAAATATGGGGGAAGGAAGTATGTTTTATAGGAATGATCCATCCCTCCAGTAGAGGTCACACACTCCCACAATCAATGTCAAGGTACACTGAGGCAGTTTGTTGTAGCACTGCCTTACTAAGACACTTTGGTGTTGGTTTTTCTTTTAATTTGTCACCCATGTATGTTAGGTTGCTTTTAACTTGTTAGGATGGGCCTGTCCATTAGGAAAGATATATTGAAAACAGAGGCGATCAAGCAAGAAGAAACCCAGCCAATGTGAAAACACTGATGTGAATCATAGTGTTCTGGCCAGGCTGGACGACCTGTGATTTACCTGAGTGTGTGAATATCATTATTGGTTGAGATTTATTCACCTGATCACTATGATCACTTATCTCTACCTCTGAGCATCCAAAACCCTCTAAATGTCTGATCCATCTGATCAAGATCCATGGGATCCAAGTCATGAACTATACGCTATTCCTATGTAAAGCTTGTTACACTGATTTTTGGAGTAAAACAAATATCTCAAAACTGATCACATTAAAGGTCACCTTCACTCTATTGTATTTTTATAATAGTTATTCCACTTAGATTTTTAAACCTTACTGTATGCGATATAAAACTTTTTTCAACCTCACTAAGTAAACCCCACCGATTTCTGTGGGAGACACTGCAGCCATGAATAGGTGTCGATAAATAGATTCATCCTGGCAAACTAGTCATCAGTACCTTCTGTTATTACAACACTGTGTTCTCACTGGTACAAAAACGAAAGTTGTAGGTTAATGCTTTGAGGAACTGACCTATTGTGCTCTTTATTTGAATGTACATTTTAAAGAAGTAAAGACCACGTTGAAAAAAGTTTGCTGTGAGTTTTCTGAGTTTATTTAATTCATCAGTGTGACAAAGACCAAGTTCATCACTGTGTTCTGACTGAAGACTTTTATTTGAAGACTCTGTTGTTTGGCCCTATGACCTCCATTTGAGGTTGTCCAGCCAGCAGTCGTCCTCTCCTCCCCTAAGAGACGAAGAGCAGAGACGGATGAGTCTGACAGGAAGCCCCTCTCCGGCCCGTGATAGATGCTGATGTCTCTGAAGCTCAGGCCGTGGTGAGGGAACAAGGCGGCCCAATCCTGAGGAGGGTGTAGGTCAGGATTATATATAGAAAACCACCCTCTCTATGATACATGGTGACACGGCCTGCCCAGCTGTGTCCACTCAGGTGATGTCATGTGAAATGGACGATGGTGGAGGAGCAGAGCAGCTGGCACGGCACAACACCAAACACTGCTGATTGATCCAAGATAAACTGTGAGACTGAAGCTGCTCTGCTCAGGTCAAAGGTCAGTTGTCCCAGGACAGAGAGAGCAGCAGCAAAATAACCAGCAGAGGTCAGCTGGACTGATGCTAATGGAGGAATGGAATAAAAAACGAAAAGGAGAGGAGGAGAAAGATTTCTGTCCTTCTGATTTAGCGACACTCTTAGTTACAGTGGTAAATTAATATGACAGCAAATACTCACAGAGCAGGTACTTTAACAGAAATAAGAGGCCAGTAAATGTTTTCACAGTGCAACCAAACAAACTAAATTTAATCAAAAAGTCACTCAGGATTTCCGTTTCTGTCATACCATGACAAACTGTGATCTGAGTTAATGCTGCACAAGGAGCAAGGAGTGCGGATTTGGAAAGATCCGATTGCACACTGTCAATTTTTCTTAAAATTTCTCAGCTTTAATTGTTGTAAAAATGACATTTAGAGTTATGTTTCACATATATTTGTCTAAAAACTTATGTATGCAGGTCCGGATTTCCGAAGTCTGCGGACTGATATACTGTGGCAAAATTAGTATTTCTTAACTATGGACTGGGCTGCAGCCCAATGCAGCATATGTATATTCCTGAGGTGTGTTAAACAGTGTCTAGACACAACACAGGATTTCTGGATATTTTAGAACTTCCTACAGTGTTTGGGCTTTATCGATGCAAAGCATGCACAAATCAAAGCTTCTCCAAAGTCCTGCAGCTGCTACTTCTACTACAACTCCAAATCTGTGTGCAGTTGCTGAAAATAATTAAGTCCAGTAACTTGCCAACTAACAGGCTAATTTCAGAGTTCAGAGTTGTATGAGCCCAGAGGTGGTTGTATGAGGATTAAGTTACTGTATGTTCACAGCAGATTTGATGCTCGGATAAACACTTCTACTCTGTTAGCCCATAAGCCTCCCGTTTGTGCAAGGTTTGCATATTAGCTGGTTTCTGCTCAGTTAACTTGTAAGCTTCTGTGTTTCTGCTCTATTAGCTTCCAGTTCATGTTTTTGCTTTATTGGGACACTTGCCAGTCAAAAATGATAAGAAACTGTGTTATGTCATTACTACCACTAATTATATTTCACAATTTACATCCGTCATTCAATGATCATCTCATCACATTTCTACAATCTGGGGCTCTGCATCATCAACACTGGGAAAACTAAGGGTTTTCTAAAGGTTTCTTTCAATGTAACCATTAGAACAAACCACATAAACACACCGGTAATCATTGTATAAGAGTTTTATTATAATTTAAAAATGTTAAAGTTCCTATTTTTTCCTCCAGCTTAGTGGTTTCTCCTCCACTGTGATTGGTCCAACAGTTGTTTCTTGTTCAAACTGAGCATCTGCAACAAAAGAAGCAGCACTATACCAACCTTGACGTTAAAATCTTTACAGGTGCCTGACTATTCCATCCATCCATTATCTATCCACCGCTTAATCTTCACTAGGGTCGCGGGGGGGCTGGAGCCTATCCCAGCTGACTTGGGGCGAAGGCAGGGTACACCGTGGACAGGTCGCCAGTCTTTCGCAGGGCTACACTTAGAGACAGACAACCAAGCACACTCACATTCACACCTACGGACAATTTAGAATCACCAATTAACCTCAGCATGTTTTTAGACTGTGTAGGAGGAAGCTGGAGAACCCAGAGAGAACCCACACTGCACGGTGAGAACATGCAAACTCCACGCAGAAAGATCCCGGGTGTCCTCACCAGGACGCGAGCCCAAGTTATTCAGGCAGGATTCAAATGGAATGAACACTACGTCTAATGACACAAACGGGTCAGCTGTCACCTGCCTACCTGTTCCGGTCAGGTCACTCTTCCTACCACCACAGTTTGCGTCACAGCAGGAACAGGTGTGATGACTGCCACTGGCCTCCCTCCACCTGTCAATCAAAAGCTCCTGTTTTAGCACTAGCAAAGGTCAGCTCGACACGCACACTGAATTTTAACTGTACTTGTTTCCTACAATCCCTAATTGTTAGTGAAATGACACAGAAGTGTTACAAATTGCTGACAAATTTCTGACTCAGTGAAATATACCAAATGCATTCAGATTGTTGAACAGGGTTCTTGGCTCAAAATATGAATTGATCTAAAATGAAAACTGGTCAAGTTAAAAATCCTTTAGTCACTCACATGGTGCAAGAGCAGTGAAATCAGTGCACTCAAACAATACCAGAATTAAAAATCCCAATGCTTTCAACAAACTGAAGATGCCATTTGTAATGTTTGCTGCAGAGAGGAGGATGGGAATTGCAGTGCTGGTGGTGTCTCACCCGTTGGAGAAAGAACAGGCCTTGTTTGTGGCATCAACAGCTGCAGTTGCTGCTGTGGCTCTCAAACTGCAGGTGATGTAGATCTGATGACATGAATAAGTAGAACTGAATTTGTAGGGTAATAAACTGAATCAGGCAGCTGCCTGGTAGGAAGTCAGTCCTACATGTCTTACCAGACCGCTGTTGTCCTGCTGGAACCTGAATGCCTCCATCTCAAACTGCAGTGTGTCATCCTGAGACCGAGGCAGGAAATGAGAGCTGGAGCCCGTCAGTTGACTGTCAAATAGACACCTGAACGCAACACAGAGGACCAACAGGTTAGAAAAAAAACAAAAAACAAAAACACCCCCATAAAAAACAAGTTTAAAGATCCAGACAAGCTTCAAGACATACAGTAGGGTTCTAAAGTCAAAGTATCAGTGATTTTTAATGCAACCCTGGAAAGAAATAGACAATTTATTTAGAAACATTTAAAAAACAAAAAGTTCTGACTGTAAAATTAAGAAATATTTGAGATTTTCCTTGTTTGAGCAGATTAGTGCAGTGACCATGTTAACTCCTTTGTACAAAGGCCAGACTTCCTTGAGTTGTATCTTTCATTGGAGCAATGGTCAGATGACACTCCACTGGATTGCCTTGTTTAACTAAATCAACCTGCAGTCATTGTTCACCTGTTAGAAATCTGACTAAGTTTCCAGCAGAACATTGTTCTCCAACCTGTGCTAATGGAAAACACATAAGAACTAAATGAAAGGGTTAGAAGTCAGACTGTTACTTTGAGCAAAGAGGAGCTTTCTGAGTGTCATGATAGCTAGACTGAAGGATTCTAAGGGTGCATGGAGCTCTGAAACACTGTGGAAACCAGATGAGTTGTATTCAAAGCAGAATCACGCAGACCAAAAGTGAACACATCATCAGGAGATGAATTTACTGAATACACAAAACTCCAATCAGTAAAAGTTCTGTCAAAAAAAAGGCTATTTAGTCTTGGTCTCAGGAAAAGAAGTGGCTCTAAACCACTTCTCTGCAGGGGAAACAAGAACAAATGCTTGGGATGGGCTGAGAGCGTAGCATTTCACAGTGGATGATGGAAAATTACTAATGAATCCCAGTTAGAGATTAGTGGCTGTAAACGGGTAACAGGAGGGTGTATGTAAGGACGCCAACAGGAGAAAGGATGATGCCACAGAGGATCAAATCCACAGTAAAACTTGATGTGAGGAACATTTAGTATATTGGACACTTGCACCAAATAGACTCCACTCTGATCATGAAGAAGCAGCACTTCTACATTTAGAGACATGGTCCACACATTGGTTTGCATCTTTGTGGAGATGGATTCATAATAACCACAAACACACCTCAAAACGTAAAGACCAAAGAAGACCAAGGAGTGCTGACTGTCATGGACTTTTCCTCCACAGTCAAGCCCATTTAAATCAGTTGTGATGCACCACATCCTGCATGTACACATCTTAAACTGCGTTTTAATGTGAGCAGAGAAACTTTTCCTCTTCAAACTGCACATAAATCACTCCACACACAGGTTAAAAAAAATCCAAAACAAACCATCACTCCTATAAACTAACCCGTTGTTTCCCAAGAAGGCATATCGAGGGACAGTGTCAACATTTGGGACCACAGTCGCCACACAGCTGTCCACAGTCACTCTGAGAGGGATGTGATGAAACTGTTTGACAGAGGCTTCAAACTTCATCTTGTCTCCCAGCAGGAACTGAGCAGATGGACGAGGGAACTTCCCATCATCTGAGAGACGGAGGGCAAAGAGACCACAGGGCTTAAACGGAATCAGTAGTTGCAATTCGATCACCTTACAGCATCAAGACAAATTGTTTTGAGGAAAGCTTTTTTAATGTATGAACTAGAACAACCACCCACCAGTCATGAGTCTGAGGGAGAAGTGGAGGTTTTCTTCGGAAACTTTGGTGCCACTGAATGGAGTCCAGGTCGGCTTGAGCAATCCGCTGCTCACATCGTGCTTCCTAAAGAAAAGAAATTACTGAAAAATATTTGAAGAACAAACTTCCTTGCAAAATATGACAATCATTATTAAATAAATAAATAAAAACAATAATCTGACCTCTGGTAGTGACACTGGATGGTGACTGAGAAGTCCAGGGTTCGGATGATGGGACTGTCTCCCAGAGGACTGGGAGTGTAGAACAGTGTGAAGCTGTAGACGAATGAGTCCTCAGATATCTGAAACACATTTTACTAATGCGTCACATTCCATTAACCTGGACAATTAAAATCAACACTGGCACTAATGAACCCACAAAAATCTTTCCAATTTTACTTCTGGTTTTGGTTTTCTGGCACATTTACAGTCTGGTTTGGTCTCAGTGTTTGCAGCAGCAGGCAGCTGTTTTTGGCAAATGGGCTCTGATGATCCCATTTTAGTTCACCTGCCCAGCCCTGAAATAAGTTGGGACATAGAACAAGTGGGATGAAGCCATTTTTTTGTCTGTTTTTTGCAAGTTACAAGTCAATCTTTAGGGAGAGTTGAATGTTTGAGTCCCACTAGCTGTGACATGCATGTGCTACAACTACAATATGGAAATAAAAACATGAAGGAGCGGTAAAACAAATTTAATTAGCAGTTGAAAGGTGATAAGGTCACGCAGCACGAGCAGTATGTGCCAGATCACAGCATTTGAAAGCTACTTTGTTATTTTATTTTGACATGCCTATTGCACAGTGACTACTTGTAACCTTATAAATAGGTAAATAGACTGACTGATTACAAGTTTGTAGACACCTGTGATGCTAATTAGAGGACACACCTTGATTGAACATGTCCTTATGGTCACATTATTTTCAGTCTTTTCTAGGGGAACCATCATTTTTGTCCAGGCTTGTTTCATGAGTTTATTTTTTGAAAAGAATTCTGTTAAACCATGGTTCAAAAGCATTCATTGGTTTATTTTCAATGAATTTTTAATTAATTATTATCCTTTGACAGATTCAAGTTATTTCTGTGACCACTGTGTGCTTTTCTTTCATTAACCGAGGGGTACCAACAATTTTGTCCACGCGTGTATATGGAATACATGGATCAACTAGTCATTATTTCAGTATAGTTGACTAATAGTTTGTGTACATGCTGTTTTAAATGGTAAACAAAATGGTAAATGGTCTGTGATATATATATATATATATATATATAGCACCTTTTTCTACCCTAGGGTACCCAAGGCGCTTTGCAATGTGTTTCTCGTTCACCCATTCACACACCAATGGTGACAGTGGGGATAAAAAGGAGACAGCAACTAAACAAAACTGAACTAAACTAAACAGTAACTAAACTGAACAGGACTAAGTGAATGGTTTGATTTGACTGTATATAAAATAATAAAAGCTGTGATCTGAAAACTCAACTACAGACTCAAATCAGCCAGATGTTACTGAAAATGTGCTTTCATCTGAACATTAAACCCTCACCAGCAGCTGGCTGCCACAGCTGTGCAGCTCTGACTCAAAGACCAGGACCTCTTGATCTTCTCTTGTGGCACCACATCCTCCTAGTGTGACCTCTGCAGCCTGGACCGATTTACCGATCCCCAGCAGGTCTCTCTTGACCTCCACTCGGACAGAGCTCTCTCCGCAGACGGCTATGACACTGTCAGGGGTTACTGGAGGCTTCAACTCAAAGTTTGGTGGGAACCGAGGCTCCTCTTCAGCTGGCGGGTCTGGAAACCTCCAAGACAACGGTTCACGAAAAGATTGTGTCTCCTGTTGGACAGCTGGGACAGACGTTTGTTAACTCTCAGTACAACAGATGTTTATGAATCAGGTCAACAGCAACCAATAAGACTTAACTGTGAAGGTCTTTTCTCTTGCAAAACCTACAAATATACCATTTAAAAACACTTAGATTTTCACATGGACACATGGACATTTCTGCCCAAGCTCTGTCACCTGCCACCAATATAGTGCCAACAATAATTAAAATGGGTGTTTTCTGCTGTCCCACCACATGAGGCAGTAAACAGCCAATGATGTACCAGAATGAGAAGAAAAAGAAGATTTTCCACTAAAATTAGATTCAACTTTAACTAGGAATATTACAAGTTTGTTTTGTTGTTTCAGTGTCATTAGAGGGAAGGATGAGGACTAACAATGAGGTCTTTTTGACAAAAGCACATCTGGTTGACTTTCCAGTCTCCAGCAAACAGCAGCACACAACCACATCTCAAAGCTTTTCTACATTATATTAAATACCGGACACTCTTCCGTTAAAAGTAAAGGACTGTAGTAGGATTAGCAATCTCTCTACCTACGGAAGACAATGAAGCCTATTTCAACTGTAGAGATATTTTGGGTGTTGGTAGAGACCAAAGCAGAGAAAAAAGAGAGTGTATTGGAGTTTTATTCATCAGGTAGACACCAACACCTGCTCCACATTGATCATGTTGCTCTATGTCTACCAGATGTGAAAATAGGCATCTGTTTGCTAACAAGTTAGTCAAATACTTTATAGCTAATGATGAAGTCTTTTCGCAAGTAGTGGTGAGAAATCACCTAACTGTCCTGCATAGACAAAGCAGGCCTATCAGTTACACTTATATATGTGTTTCTTTTATTACAGATAGTACCAAAGACTAGTTCAGTCGGCATCTATATCACACCTCGCTGTTGTTTCAACATCATTTCACCAGCTGTACATTCAAACATGTTAAAATAACAATTTAAATAGGGGAGCAACAAGACAAACAAGAGTTCCAGGTAGGGATCAAACCTGTGACCCTGACATCATTATTATTGTTGTATATAATATATGTTATATTGATTTAAAAAAAAAAAAAAAGGTGAGCTTTTACAGGATTGAATTTCCCTTCTGGGATGAATAAAGTATTTTTCATTTCATTTCATTTCATTTCATTCATTTCATCAACAGTACTGTATATATAGAGGGTTTTTATTCGCATTTCAGAGAGCAGAGGGACGACTAGGTGCTGTGACAGTAAAGAAGACTGTAAAAATAAGCTCATCATGCAACACACCATTAGACAGAAACATAGTCAACATGTAGATGTAAATAAATGGCATAAAGGTGTCTTTATATATTCAAAAATTAATGTTGAGTAATAGCTTTAATGTATCCATACCATTTATGGCAATTCAAATTATTTTTAACACAACATGAGCATCAGCTGTAAAGCTCAGATACCGTATTTGTAGTTGTATGTGATACCAACCCAGTCTCACAGCAATTCATGAAAGAGTCATGAAACTTAATCTATTGTTTCGTGTCCTGGGACACGATTTGCCCAACTTTGTTGTGTGTCCCAGCCCAATACATTTCAATTGGAATTATCTTTGTCTGGGCCACATTTTTCTCCCTATTAGACAGTGCATATGCTGTGATGTTTTTGTCGTTCTTTTCTTCCAACAGTCAGGCGTTAACGAATTTATCTGTTATGGCCCGTCCACACTAATAACTATAAAGATGTGTCCGCCCGCACTGACGAATATTAACATTCTGTAAACACCGGCGCTGCGTTAAGCTCCGTATTCATTCGAATAGAAAAGACAAGGGCCTACAGCAGTTTACTGCCAGCAGTAAACTGTGCCTCGTTCACCCACCCTTCCAATCAGGATTCCTAAAGTAACATCTGAGTCTAAATTACTTGACAAATCAAGTAAATTCCTGTCCATCTCGCTTCATGTGTAATAATTTAGGTGGTGTCTTCCAGTTTTAGAAGCCCTGCAAACAAGTCTATTCAGACAATTTCTATACAGCAGTAAATTGATATGCTGGCTGCCTTACAGGAGACCGTAATTCCATCTAAATTTGCATGCAAAACTGTTGAGTAACATAGAGGTCAACCATAAATGTTACTGTGAGGATAAATATTCACCTACATAGCATTTTAATAGGCTATGCCGTCATACAGAAGAACCTGGACAGTGACGTGTCAATTCATTTAAATCACCGATCTGCCGTTGGATGTTAAACATTTGCTCAAAGAACAACATTCAGTTCATCTAATCTCCACTGAAACTCTAACATCACTGTCAATTCTGTTTATGTAAATGTAAATGCTGACTCCCATCACATCACTACAGTTTGAGAGTTATATTTAAGCAATTCTCACTATATAAGAAAAATGATCCATGTTGTGGACCAGCTGTACCTGCTGGTTCCTGGACTTCAGGCCAAGGCCGGTCTGGTCTATGGTCTGTAAACCTACTGTCTGCAGAGACGTTCAGGTAAAAGTCCTGAGCTGTTAAAGCGGCACAGAACAGGCAGAGAAGGATTCTTATAGACAGCATTATGTCAGTCATGTGTTTACTCTGTGTTTCATCTGTTTGAAACACAGTCACCTGTGCAGCAGGTGGCTTTGTAGAAGGGCATCTTGGCCCCGCCTACCATCTGATTGACCTGACGTCTCTCCAGCTGTGCCTCGTTCACCCACTCTTCCAGCAGATTTACCAAAGCTTCATTTAAACACTGGAATTTATTTAAAATTCCAAAAATGTGGCCAAAGATGCAAAAAAAAAGAAAGAAAAAATCTGCCAGACTGAATTTTGAGAAAATGGGGGGAAATTACACTTTTGTGCACATGGACAATTTATTGGTTATTTACACAACAACACAAAGCAGCAGAAGCACAACTACAAAAGCAAATTGTGCAGGTGAGATTAAAAATCCTAGAGGCCACAGAACAGGGGTCTGTTTCACAAAGCAGGTTCAACAAACTCTGAGTCTAATCGTGAACTCTGAGTTCATCTACTCTGAGATAGGAAACTCTGAGTTTCTGGTTCCACAACTGCGGATTTGAGTTAGTTTAATCAACTCGGAGTAGTTTCACCTGGAGTTAAGCATGTTCACCACAACTATAAAAAGACAGCAAAAAGACACCGTATGAGCGCAAATCTTTATGCACTCATATGGCGAGTTTTAATACATTTTTAAAAAGAAGTGCAACACCGCTGCAGCTGCAAGGCAGAGGGAGACAGTGTGGAGAATATTGCTGCTTGGGTCATTGTGTAAGTTTAAATGTCGTCCTTTGCAATCACAATAATATTACAGGGGAAAAGTGCTGGAATGGTAGCCTATTTATTTATTTCATTTAGCAGCAATCTGGCGGGGGAGAAGCGCACTTGGCACCAGCTAAGATGAAATATTAAAAAAATTGTTCAAGTCTGAGGTTGCAGCACAATGTCATTAACAGAATATAATTTAAAATTATTTTAACAGATCTCTACATCATTTACCTGCAATCCTGTGGAACTCCTTGATGGCTCTGACAGGTTTATGTCCATAAAAAAAAAAAAAAAAAAACGTTATTGGGGCTTCTGGTATGTCATCAGGGCGAGAGGCTGTGTAAAGCGACAGCTCCCGGATGGGCGTAATAAATCTCCCCCTTTGAAACTTATATTCGCTACTTTTTAAGTCAAATAGTATTATGGAAGGGGAGAAGCAACGAAAGGCTGAAAGCAAAGCGCTTCAGAGACCAGAAAAAGCCATAAGAAGAGACAACGGGGAAAGACATTGACGACGAGATAGACGAACAAGACGAACAAGACGCCATGGATGGCCTACAAGCTAGCATAAGTGCTATATATATATATATGCGGAAATAAAGGTTATTAGGTCAGGCGTGAAAACAGAGCTGAACAACTTTCAAGCCACCCTCTCCAGAGACATGAAACAAGGTTTACAAAGCCTCCGAGAAGACATCAATCAAAAGTTAAACGATATCGCCGTGGACTTGAAGGAGACTATCAGCAGAGTGGCGGAGGCAGAGCAACGAGTTGCTGACATTGAGGAGTGGAATGCCGGGGCTAAAGAGGCGCTATGCCAAGCGCTAAGCAGCCAAGAAGACATGCAAGCTAAACTGACAGACCTGGACACGAAGGAACAACATTCGGGTATACGGGATTCCGGAGGACATGGAAGGAGACAACATGCCTGACTTCATTGAAAATTTCATCAAAACAGAACTGTTATTCCCGGACATTGAACTCCGAATACAACGTTGTCACTGGGTGCTGGGTCCCAAGCCCCCACAAAATGCCAACCCACGGTCAGCTGTGATTTATTTTTTGGAATACAAGATTAAAGAGTTGGTGCTCCGCACAGCATGGAGAAAGAAAGAAGTTCATCTGAACGCAACCAGAGTACACTTTGATCAGGACTACCCTGCGGAGACCCAGAGGAAAAGAAAGGCATACACGCCCATCAGAAAGCTCCTCAAAGAAAAGGGCCTCCTTCCAGACACCTCCACCGGCCAAACTCAGGGTATTTAACGATGGCGGTCCCATTACTTATAACAGCGCAGTGGAGGCGATGGCGGATCTGAGGAGGAGAGGGTTAATGGAGAGTAACGAGGACAACGGCCCGACTGCTACAGAGAGGTCAAAGAAAAACTCCTGGGAGATGGCGAACACCAAAAAGCACAAGCCCCGAGATGTACATGGAGCAAGAGCACGGGAAAAGTTGCAAGAGTTTCGCCGCGACATGGAGGATGCCGTCTGATTTTTCTTCATGGTAAAACGGATCTGAATGCTAACTGGAGTATTTGTGGTAAGACTGTTCAAAAGACTCTTAATATACCATCTGTAAAATAACAATGTATGGGAGTTTTCACCCGAAAGTCGTCAGTAATGGACATATGTTTTTTTGTAATCTCACGTGTAATTTATATACACAGTATATTTTTCTTTCTTTCTGTGTTGTTTCTAATATAGTGAAGAAACTGGGTTCGACTCGTTCAACTCTTTAATCTGCAGCTCTCAGCAAAACACATAAAACATCCATCGTGTGTTCTTCTTCTACACTCTGCACGTACCCAGCTTAAGATGTCATAACCCTCTGCTGGTATGAGCAGGTAATTACACCTATCACTACACTTTCTTACTATGTTTTTTTGTAATTTCACGTGTAATTTATATACACAGTATATTTTTTTCTTTTTCTTGCTAGTTTTTCTCAAATCATATAACAATTTCCTACGCAGCTACCAGGGGCTTTTGCTGTAGCCCAAATAGTTTAAAGCAACAGATGTTCTATCCGGGAGCTAAAATTATACTGCCGGACTTGTGCGCTGAGGTATATTCTCGTAGAGGTACATCAGTTGGCACTGGGGAGGCCCCTCGTACATTGAAGGCTTTCCTCCCTGATTGAAACTTCACTTAAAGAAGTATTTCATTTGTGGAAGTCTTTATGTTTTTTGATTTCAGGTTCCATGTTTCTGTACATGCTGTAAAAACGTTAAGGTCACCATGGGTCTGCAATATGAGGAAGCCAATCATTAAGATAAATGTCTCAACAAATATATAGGGTAATTGCACTTAATGTTAATGGGTTACAAAATCCAATTAAAAGAGGAAAACTCATAACCAAGATGAAGAGAGAAAACCAACATCTAATCTTCAAGAAAACTGAAGCAGAAAATGAGCAAGAAACTCATTTAGTTAAAGCCGAACATGAAAAACTAAAAAAAACCTGGATTTAGAAATACATACTACTCCTCCTTTGACAAAGGAAATAAAAGGGGAGTTGCCATCCTGATTTCAAAAAAGGTGGCATTCTAGCTCTCTACAAAGATTACGGATAATGAGGGATGTTATGTCATGGTGAAAGGGACACTTGATTCCAGGGAAGTAACACTTCTCAATGTTTATAGGCCACCGGGACAGGACGACTCTCTATTGAAGAAAATATTTGATTTAATTGCCACAGAGTCTTCAGGTGTCCTAATTTGTGGAGGGGATTGGAACATACAGCTACATCCCACCTTGGATTCCTCAAACCCCTCTAATCAGATGAACCCACAATCATTTTATGTAAAAAATAATGCTTAAAAATATTGGTATGTGTGACATATGGAGAGAACTTCACCCGACCTCAAAACAGTTTACCTTTTTCTCATATCCCCACGCAGTATACTCTAGGATTGACTATTTTTTTTATGTTTAACTGAGAGACAGAATTGTGGAATGTAACATAGGGACTAAAGATGTGTCTGATCACGCAGGAGTGTATATGAAACTACATCTGGATGTTCTACCCAAGAGAACCAGCTGGAGGCTTAATACCAGCCTCCTTAATTGTCAGCAGGGTGAAGAATTCATTAAAAGGGAACTTATAGATTACTTAGAATTTAATAGTACTGTGGACACATCACCAAGTGTTCTGTGGGACGCTGCTAAGGCAGTGCTCAGAGGGAAATGTATAATGTGGGCTTCAGGGAAGAAAAGGGAACAGCAGACTCAATTGAACGTTCTAACTTCTAAACTAAAAATATTAGAACAAAGACATCTAGAATCAAAGGATCCCCAAATATTAGGAAAAACAAATGAAACCAAGCAAACATTAAACAATATATTAGACAAACAAGTAGAGATTAAACTGAAGTACATTAAACAGAGTCACTATGAAAATGGGCCTAGAGCTAAAAGAATGCTGGCATTAAAATCAGAGACCCTGAAACCAATACAATGCGTCACAAACCAGAGGAAATACAACTGGCTTTTGAAAAATATTACAAGATGCTGTATTCTCAGCCTGAAGCAGCAGAGCCAGAAGCTACAAAAAATTTCCTGGATTCACTAGACCTACCATCAATAGGGACTGAACAGAATTAAATAATAACAAAAGAAATCACAACAACTGAGGTTGATCGCGCTATATCAAGACTGAAGACAAATAAGGTGGCAGGAGGAGATGGGTTTCCTGCCGAATGGTACAAAAAGTTTAAGGATTTACTGACACCAATGCTTAAAAACTGTTTAAATTTTGTACTCAAAAGTTGAGAAACCCCAGCATCCTGGAACCAGGCTATAATATCAGTTATCCATAAGGAGGGAAAAGAACGAACTGAATGCAGCTCTTACAGTCCTATCTCTGTCCTAAATATAAACTACAGATTATTTACCACTATAATAGCAAAAAGATTAGAAAACATAATTCCTGATCTGGTGGATACTGACCAGACCGGATTTGTCAAAAATAGGCAAACACATGATAACGTGAGACGTGCCCTGTACTTGGTTCAGAACATGAGTAACGACAAGTCAAAAGCTCTAGCAATTAGCCTCGATGCAGAAAAGGCTTTTGACTTGGTACGATGGGAATTTTTGTACTTGGTATTGCAGCGTTTTGGTTTTAACGAGAAAATCATAGGATGTCTCAAATCCATATATCACTCACCTGCTGCCCAAGTTAAAATAAATGGTAGTCTCTCAGAAACAATCCCATTGAAAAGAGGTTGCCGCCAAGGGTGTCCCCTAAGTCCCACCCTCTTTGCATTATTTATAGAGCCTCTCGCTCAAGTAATCAGAGAAGATATTGAAATAACAGGAATCCACATCAAAAAATCAGAACACAAAATATGTCTGTATGCAGAT